AGAGAGAGAGAGAGAAAGAGGGAGAGGCCGGATATTCAGACCCAGGACTCGCACCTAAGAGAATACACCAAAACACGAATTGTAAGCGTCGCTCCATCGCTCGGGCCATGCAGCGGGAGTTCCGTACGCACAACTAATAACCATGATGCCTCATGGCACCTGAGCCGTACACCCGGGAATAGAAACGTGTACCACGCTACGCAGCGCAATGCCGTACATAGACGTTTATCCCAGCACGACACTAATACATCGGAAGCGCTGGGCCTTCTTTGCGCATCCTAACTACAAAAAGCAAGCCCCAAAACCTCAAACGCTCCAACACTCCATCTGTAGAAACTTCTTTCATACCCCATGAAACCCAAACTCCCTGCAAGCCGTGCTGCTGTCCCAAGGGATTGCAAAAGAGGACGACCTTCGTCGAGAGCATTCACAGTTGGGTTTCGGGCGATTTTTCGGCTTGCTTGTCGTGAAGGTACTTGTCTGTTGAACCGGGTTCTGTCACGGAAGCCATGCACCTTGCCACAAGAGATAGGAAACAACACTCTCAAGCAGACTGGTCCCAATCCAGAAACTCCAATTGTCTGGCTTGGTAGTTCCTTTTTGGGTTTAACCAAGTCTGTATTAATGGATCTTACAGGGTAACCCCAAAAAGGAACTACAATGGAGACTCTAGGTCCCGTTAAAGGACTTCTGTAACAATCGTAAAGGATCCATGTACCCAAATAGATATACTTTGGCCTTAAAGTAGTCCCTATATAAGTACTTTGGGGCCAATGTATATACTGTTTGGGTACCCGAGCTATGGGATGCTATGAAGCTCCTAGGTCCTACGACGCCAAAATCCACAAAAACTCCAAGTCCCCTGACACAACAGCTCGCCTAGAGTTATAACGTTTAGGAGTTTAGGGTTTAGGGTTTAGGCTCAACCTATCAAGTCCCAGTTCCTGCCGCACTTGCGGCAACCTCAAGCCGGCCTTTATCTCAGAATCTCAAGGTCTATAGGGTTTAGGGGTTTAGGGGTTTAAGCGTTTTGGTTTTGGGTTTGGGGTTTTAGGGTTTAGGGTTTTACTCCGCGAAACCCTCAAGGCATGATTAGAGTAAGGATCCCAATAGTAGGGGAGCATATGACCCAAGGTCTACATCTATAGAATCTTGATAGACTTATAGAGCCCTTTTAGTACCTCACTGGCCCAAAACCCAAAGAAATACAAGTTTAAACTTTCAGAATCGACTACCTTATANNAAGTTGAGTTTACAGCCAATAAGGTACGCCTATGTTATAACCGTGCAACCTGCAGGGGTGCCTTCTCAGCATCCTTTGCTGGGACTCCGCCACCCGCATTCCGGATCACGGCGGTGCAGTAGCGCAGCTCTACACCTCAGAGACGCTGCACACCCTAAGGGTCCAAGTACCCATTATTTAAGGACTTTGGGGCCTTTGTGGGTACTTGAAACCATAAATAAGGACTACTTGGACCCTTAGGGATAGGAGTTCAGGATGGTCATAACTTTCCGCCGAAATGGTATAGTGAGAATTATGTGTGAAACCGAAAACCAGAAAGCCGAACAGGCCTTCTCAGGGTCTGTGACGAACAGTCAGAACTGCTGTCGAAACGCTGAGGGTCGCTGGAACTTCGAATCTCTCACTCGACTCTCACTACAAGCTGCTACGGGCCAAAATCTTGGGATCAGCTTGCATAAAAGCAACCGAGATCAAAGCTCCATATTTTTGCCAATCAGCGCAAAATGCGACTTCGAGACACTGCCACTAGGTGTCCCTTCCGCCTAGCACCTTCGAGAAGAGCCTGACTTGGAACTCTGCTCAATGCTGTGCCGACGGCTGGCAGCCGGGGCGGGCGCGAACAGCCCTGTCGTTCATGAGAAATGTCGAAGTAACTACTCTGAAGTCTTTTAGGGTTTAGGGTTTAGGGTTTAGGGTGTTGGATGTGTGGTGCTAAATTAAGGGTTCTCCGGCTCTCTGGAAAAGAGCCGCCCTGTCGTGGCGCCAAGGCACCATCCGGCGTGGTCACCGTGGCTGACTCCGCGTCGGGCGGCAACACCTGACAATATCGGGTTTGGGGCTCGAAGGGCTCAATATAGGGGCCTTAATAATTAGAATCGGGTTTGGGAGCATATTATACTACAATTACAGTAAGGAGCCCCCGAAATCTTATTCTAATGATTCAGGCCCTTGAACCCTAAACCCTTACAGTAGCCCTTATAGAACCCTTTAAGGAACCCTTTAAAGGAACCGCCAAAACCTTGTTCAATTATGAAGGCCCCTGCGTTAAGATTCGAGGGGTTTCTTCGAATGTAAACCAGGCTTGTGGGGCGCAGGGGTTGAGGCTTCGCAATTCTAGGCGTTTGAGCACAAAGGTTTAGGGTTGATAGGGTTATAGGGTTTAGGGTTTAGGGTCCATAGGGTTCCATGGGCAATTTGTGCTTCATGGCCAATAAATGATTCGGGGATCAGAACGTCACCTTGTGGATGCATGCCGTCAACCCTACACTAAAGCCAACACGCAGGTACTGGCAATTATTCCGACCCTTTGTTATGCCCTTGTCCGGACCGAGGGTTTAGGGTTCAGGGTTTTTGGATTGAGGTTGATGGCTTGGGTGCTTTGTTTAGGGTTTTGAGGTCCAGGATTTACGGCTTAGGGAAAGGATGAGACTTCAGCCCACATTCCCCGGCCTGATTCCCATACTCAAAACAAGCTGTCTATGAAACTCTTCCAGCACACAACATTTATTGATTCCCTGTTGGGGCTATATTAAGAATGATCATTTTTTAATCCCTATTGGGTTTTTATTATAACAAAAAATGTAAAATTGTATCCAACAAGGACCAAAAAAAGGACCCAGTTTATAAGGAAACACTCCGGAAGATCTCAAACCATACCGAGACCCAGGAAGTTCCCCCCAAAAGTCAGACCCAAGTTCCTGTAAACTCTAAGTCCCTCACCCATAGGCCCCATAGGAGTTCCTTTTTGGGGATTACCTTATAGAGGATTCTAGATATGAAGCCCAAAAAGAAGTTCCTTTTTTGGGATTACCTTATAGGATTCTATATATATGAAGCCCCAAAAAGGAACTACTTTAGGGCCTATGGATTCTATATGGATATGAAGCCCCAAAAAGGAACTACTTTAGGGCCTACGGGCATCAACCTGTCAGGTCAAACTCTCGCGGACAACGGCCCACCTCTTTGGTGATCTTCAACTCCTCAGCAGGCGACTACAGGGCCAAATGGGTGCCTAGAAAGCATTGAATCTTGATGAAGCTAGGCTGTTGGGGTACATGAAACATTATAGACATTGGCACTATGAGGGATGTTGTTACGTACTACTTAGCTAAATCTAATGAATATAACGACTATGCAGACCCATCAGCTAAGGGCCCAAAGAGAGAGTGTACACGCGGACTTTGGCAGGGTCGTGGGGCTCCTTTTTCACTGCATTGCCTATCCGTGGCAGCCAAGGTGCGTACTTGGCCTTCCGCAAGTTGAAGATCAGCGACCAGGTCAGTGTGCAGCAGAGGAAGAAGAGACAGGCGGGCAGCCACAAGGGGGCCAGCAGAAAAAGCCTTGCATGAAGGCCCTGGGCACCTAGTGCCCAGCTTGAAAATCTGCTTCGTCGTAAGTATGGTGGTCCAGGCTAAGTATGGGCGATCGCTATGCAACCACTTGGAGAGTTGCAAAGAGAGCATTTTGCGCCATCAAAGCCACTTTCATGCGAGGGTTTTAGAGTGGTGGGGCAGTGCAGTATGGCACGGGCTGAACTCGTCCCAGCAACACCTGGAACTGAAGGGCCTACACCCACCCTGAGCCCTGTGCTGCAAAGCTCGCCGACCAATACCATCGCCTCGGACCCCCATCTAGAATCCAGAGCCAGCTCCTCAACCACGAGCCTGCTATACTATAGTTCTACTTGCGTAGCCCCAAAGCCAACACTGGAAACACCTCCAATTCCGCGGCCACCTACAGCCCTGTCACAGGTGAACCGAAGCAGCCTTAACAGTGCGAGCCAAAGCAGCAGAATGATCTGACAGGCCCATCCCAGGTATAGCTGGACTCCAGACGCCACATCCATCGGTTCGACAATATGTTGTATGTGGGCTTAGGGTTTCGGGCGTCGGATGTGGTCCTGAGGTGTATAGAGACTCCATCTAGTTTTGAGCCCCGGCCACTGAACCTGACACCTCTGTTCGGGTTTCCGTTGTGTCTGGACACCCGGATAAATATGTAGATGCTAAAGTTAAGTGTGGACTGTGAGGAGGTTAGCCTGCTCCATCCACATCCAGATACATAGAACGTTGGCAGAGTGAGTTTGGGGGCGGGGGCGGAGGGGGAGGTGCTGTGGGCTTCCGAGCTGTTTGCTGTTCGGGATTGCATCTTGGATGACCGACAAGCATTTCTCCGAAAGCTCACAAGTTCCAGTTTGGGGTTTAGGGTTTAAAGAATTACCAATACCATTTTGGGGGGCTCCTTACTATAACTATATTTGCTTCAGGTCAGCTTCTGTGGTTTCCGGGCTCAGGTGGCAAAGCCGGTGCAGTTCGGGACACCTTGCTGGCTACGGCGGCCTCGTGTTCACATGGCTGAGCCCAAACAGTGTTGCCGGCACACAGCAAACTTCATGCAAGAAGCTCCGGATACTGTACCCGTACATGAGCAGAACCACGATCCGAAACGTGAACTGCCATCACCAGACGTACTTCAACCCCAGACCATGGGGGAGTACGCAGGATTTACGGTTTAGCTCCCAGCAGCAAGCTGCGAACCTTCATCTCTGCTGTTCTGTATGCCACACCACAATACAATCATACCTGACCCTAAACCATGGACTCTAAACAATAAAGGCTCATAACTCCCAAAACCTTACAACCTAAACTCCTGAAGGAACCCGAAACGCCTAGAATCGAAACACTGAACCCGAAACCAAGCCATGTTCCGTCGCACTCTCTTGGCTAGGACAGGGCTCCTTCATATCACTCTGATATATCATTGAACCCAAACGAATCCCCTAAACCCTAAACTCTAAACCCCAAACCCTAAACCCTAAACCCAAACCCCTAAGCCCCTAAACCCCAAACCCTAAGCCCTACCAAACCCAACCCCCTGCCTTGCTCCGGAAGAGGGAGCGGCGACCTAACCTCGAGACTGCACCCTCGGCCGACGTGGACCAGGACCTGACGGTTTAGGGTTTAGGGGTTAAAATTTAGGGTTTAGGGCACCAGGCTGGCCCATTTAAGTATACAGAAGTTAAGTTAATCTTAAAAACCCGATTTGAACCACAAACTACTAGTACAATACTTATACACATATATATATATACACATCTATATATACATATATCTGTGAATATTATAAGTATACGGGGTTACAAGGGCTTTATAGCGGGGTTATAGGCGATACTAAGGGTTTATAGGTCTCTATCAGGCTTTATGCGGGGCTGAACACCTTGCAAAGGCGCCTTTCCAACTCGACTCGGGTTTCGGGGGTGTAGTATGCTTCGTCGGGACTTTACTTCAGGGTTTAGAGTTTAGGGTTTCGGGTTTAGGATTTACGGTTTAGGGTTTGGGGTGGGTTGTGACTACTAGCTGTTCTAACAACCTGAGGGGAGTTGTTCATGCTTGCAAAAAGTCGACGATGATATCCCTAAACCCTAACCCCTAAACCCGGTGATGAATGGGCCTCGCAGGGGACGAGAGCATCGAAGATGAAGCTGAGCGTCCACCTGGGAGATCTACGCCTATGTTCTGTGACATTAACAAGCCACGCGAGCCCGCCCCTGGCAATATTTAGCTAATATAGGCGCCTTGATAATTAAAATAGGGTTTTGGTGTATACTATACCATACTTACAATAAGGAGCCCCCAAACTAGTATCGGTAATGATTCAGGCCCTTATAGCTATACGGATGTAGACCGTTAGATCGCAGGAGTGCAGCCACGTTCTTATGGTTTCTGCAGCTCTGGGGTCGGGGATTTGAAGCATTGGGGCTTGGAGGTGGGCTTTCGGGTGCCGGGTGTAGGTCTCCGAAAGTCTCGGGTTTTATATAAATATATGTATATATGGGTTTAGGGTTTAGGGGTTATCACAACCCTAAACCACAAGCCTGTACAGCTCCGAATTAATACAAAAACACAAAAAGCAACACACATCTTAAAACCCTCAAGCAACACGCCTCAAGCCGTAATATCCTGAACCCTAAACCCTAAACCCTAATGTAGAACCAGGCGGCTGATCAGCACCTTCCGGGCTCAGTGTACACGCAAGCTGCACTGACTTGGCTCGCACCTCAGCCGCGCCACTTGGGGAGGGAGTGGGCCTGCAAAAGCAATATACATGTGTAGATATCTGCATCTCTTCTATGTATATTATTTATGTTATACTTATATATATATATATATATGTATACACACGTACATACACCTCTGTGTGAGTGCCTACAGTGAGTTCTTGAGTATCCACGGAAGAATCGAAGCCGACCAAACCTATGGCTCCGTATCGTAGAACCATGTCGGAGGATGCCTGAACCCTTGACCCTTGGAGGTTCATGGGTAGTTATAAGTGGGGTTATAAGTAGGGTAACTATAGCTATAACCCACATAAGGGGCTTGATAACCCTACATATAACTACCCATGAACGCTCAAGTTGACCCTAAAACCCGCAGAGCCCACTTGGAATCGCCATTGTTCCTTCCCGGTTGACCAATCAAGACCGAAAAAGGAACTACAAGGGGGACTAATGTAGGGGCCTCAATAATTAGAACAGGGTTTTGGGGGCTCCTTATTATAAGTATAATTATAGAATGTCCCGAAACCCTATTCTAATTATTAAGGCCCCTAAACCCTAAACCCTAAACCCCTAAACCCTAAAGTCCGTATATTAAGGCAAAGCCGCAAGTCGGCCTTTTTCTGAGCCGCAATCCTCTACTCCGTGGCCACGCCTCGACTCCAACAGCTCAAAAGGGGAACATCTCTCCACCAAGCCAAGGTTCAAAACCTGGTGTCTTGGGTTTAGGGTTTTGAGTCTACGGTTTGGACTAATGTAGGGGGCCTTAATAATCAGACTAAAGTTTTGGGGGGCTCCTTATTTTGATTATAGTATAAGATACCTCCAAGCCCTGTTTAATTATTAAGGCCCCTATATTGGTGGCTTTGCTGTTTTTCTAATTGAGGGTCTGGGGGCTCCCAGGTTCAGGAGCAGTTGTCCCCGTGGGTCCAGGGCATGCGGCTGCAGAAACCACCAGCACCCTGGTTTTTTCACCCTAAACCCCCTAAACCCCCTAACCCTAAACCCGAACCTTAAATAAAAATGGGGGGGTATTCGGCCTCTACCTACCTAGGAGAAAGGTCAACCTTTTGGATGATAAAGGAATTCTAGTACCCGAAAAAGGTTACAGCGCTTTGTACTCCACTACTAAAGATTATATAGTACCGTATGTGATGAATGGTCTACAAAAGCTTAGGGTTGTTGGATGTGCAGAGCCGGCAGAAGCTCCCCCGCAAGGTCGCTTAAAGGCTGGGAACGGTTTCGCAGGGCTTTGCACGAACATCTCCACGGTGTAACGTCTAGGGTTTATTAGGGTTTAGGGGTTTAGGGTTGAGGGGGTTTAGGGTTTAGGGGTTGTATGTGATATAGTACTACAAGCCTTGTTACTACTATCAACATCCTTATAAAACCCTATCAAGACCTGCCAAGCCCTACTACGACCCTATATACCACCAATTATGCAGGCCCTTATGATCAACTACTGCAAGATCAAATTTATAGCCATAATCAACCTGAACATATCACTCTGGAAAGCCCCGAGTAGCAAAACCCTGCGCCACTCTGCACTTCGGCAGTGTGGGGAAGATTCACGCAAGCACTTTGCTGGGCCTCTGAGTGCACTCCTGCTTGGAGTCTTTAGTAGGGTTTAGGGTTTATAGGTTGTAGGGCTTAACTAATGGTTTATCTGGTACGTAGGTTCGGTTTAAGGCTTACGGGTGGTCAGACATGTTGAGGCCTAATTAGTAGCCGTAGTAGCCACAGAAGTCGAATAACTGTACCCATAATTCATTTGCTCTAGGCGCGTTCGACACGGCCTTCCGAAAGAAAGAAAGACCTGTACCCACAGGCCCCACAGTAGTTCCTTTTTGGGATTACCGAATAGGATACTAAATATAAGCCACGGTAGTCCCAAACAGGAACTACCATGGAATGGGGCCTATGGGTAAGCAAAATGGGGATCCAGTAGTCACACTGCTGACGACAATCCTGATAACTAAGAGCTAAAGCAACCATGACAACCAGCAGAAGCACTACACACTACAATTCATTCCCATAGAAAGAAGAGACAGAGAGAGAGAGAGAGATGTATATATATATATATGTATATATATATATATTATACAAAAAGCTCTCTCTCTCTCTCTGATCTTTGGAATGAAAGAGATAGAACCGCACTTGGATTTGCCCTTCCTGGAGACCTTTCGGGCTTACAGTCTTCACCATAGAGCTTACTTAGGCTATATACCTCAACCTTTTCCAGAACTACCTTTAAGAAGGGCACGTAATTCATATCAGGAACATAGGAGCAGCAACACGCCTAAGCCCTAAACCCAATGAAGTGCACCCTCAACTGGCCCTAAACCCTTAAGCCCTAACCCTGAAAACCTGATATCCTGAAACCCCTAAACCCCTAAACCCTAAACCCCTGAAAACCCCTAAACCCTAAACCCTAAACCCCTAAACCCCTAAACCCATAGGGGTTTAGGGCTTAGGGGTTTAGGGTTTAGGGTTTAAGGTTTAGGGGTTTAGGGTGTAGGTGAGGGAACCCTTAGCAATAGATTAATTCGTAGCAAGCAATAACGATTCAGACCCCTCTATGACCACAGTTTTGCGAGAAGTGCACTCAATCCTGAAGTGCCGCTCACACGTTGTAGGCAGGCCCCGATCCATGTACACACAAACACCACACATGAAAACGTGCATGCACTTCGATTGTGCAGGATCAGCAACGATCTCTTATGCCATCTCAGCGAGGTCGCGTGGTGCTGTTACTGCTCGCATTGCGGATGCAATGAAGGGCAGATGCGCTGCCTGGGCGGGGCCGGAGAGAAGCGTCGGGTGCAGCAAGCGCTGTTCACAAGATGAGAGCTGCAACAAACAACAAGGAAGTAGGGTTAATGATCTAAATCCTGCATTATCCCATAATATGGCATATACCACAATTCCCATATAGGTTAGGGTCCTTAAAAGGTAATGCAGGATTTCTATATGTCATCCTAGGCTTCAGAGTTGGTGGGTTTTGGGGACTTCAGGGTCTCCGATTGGGTGCAGGGTGAGGGCTGAAAAAAGGTTGTTTTAAAATAGGGCCTTGAGAATTACACATACTATTTATTTTTTATTTTTTTTTGGGGGGGGTCCTTTAAAGGGTTCCTTAAAGGGTTCTATAAGGGCTACTATAAGGGTTTAGGGTTTATAGGGGCCAAACAATTACCAACACTATTTTTTTGGGAGGGTTCTTTGTTATAAGTATAGTATAATGGGCCCAAAACCCTATTCTAATCATTAAGGCCCCTATAGTATCGAAACTTCACATGGAAGGCCGCTTCTGCTGAAGGGCCCAATCAGGGTTTAGGGTCTAGGGTTTAGGGTTTAGGGGCTGGTGGAAGGTAGCATGTAACTGTAACTCTAATGAACAGGCTGCGACTCTACATGTCTTATGACGCTGTTGATGGGCGCAATCTCGGAGCTTCTGCACAAAGCGTTCTGGGAAAACCCAGGCTTAGCGGTTGACTTTGATTTATGCACGTTGTGGGGAACTAGGTTTGCAAAACAACGACAGGGATGGTCCTCTGGGGCTCACTTGCAGCATGGTCGTACCGCTGGATAAAGCCCTATGCTGTAACTATATAGGCTCATAACCTAGCCGTCGAACTCCCCCAAGAAGCAATGCAAATCCTAGACCGTTATTCAAAAGGTGCGTAAACCCTAAACCCTACAACCCGATACCCTAAACCCCTAAAATCCTAAAAACCTAAACCCCCGGAATCCCTCTTCAAAAACACAAGATGTGCCTCCAGCAGAGACCTCCGCCATGCCAGCCACGACAGAGCCTATTCGATTCGAACACTCCTGGGAGGCAGTGATCTCATATTCTCTTTTTCAACCAGGATCAAAAAATGGTTCTAACTTTCTGGCATAGACAAGTTATGTAAGGCCAAAAACAAGTTCTTCCCATTGCTTTTGGGGCTTCAGTGTGACTCGAGGGCTCTAGTCTAGACGGGCTCAGGGTTTAGGAACTTATGGCTTGGGAGTTGAGGGTTTTAAGGTTTAGGCTTGGGGGTTGGGGCTTCAGGGGTCTAAGGTTTAGGGTGCAGGTTTAACATGGTTGAGAGGTTTAGGCTTCAGGGTTTCCAAACACCTACTATTGGACGGGTAAATAACCTACAAGCACGGTGATACGTCTTGTTATGTTGTAGGGTGTGAGGTTGCCGGATTCTGCGAGAATTGAGGGTGGAGGGTTCAGCGTTGAGAGCTGTACAAGGGTTGCATGGAAGCGTTTCCGGGAGGTATTGCTTGTCCTGGCCTGCATTTCCATTATCCCCAGGAGTCCAAAAGCTGTGCTCAGGCTGCTCATCCTAGGCACAAAGAGCAACAATCTTCCATAAATCTCTGAGGTCTTCAGCCTGAAACTACTATTACTACTGCTATTACTACTACTATTACTACTATTACACCCTACGGGGACATCTTAAGCCTCAACATGCTCTGTGGAAGCGTCTGCGCCGGCAACCGCGGTTGCGCCACACATCGCTGCGGCATTCGACAGGTACGCGGCCACCTGGGTCTTCTGTAGCTTGGGGTTCAGCCAGTCAGAGCCAAGAAGGGTAATAAAGGGGCCTTAATAATTAGAATAACGTTTTTGGGACCAACTATACTATAGTTGTAATAAGGAGCCCCCAAAAAGGTATAGGTAATTATTTAGGCCCCTGTATTCAGCCTTCCAAAACATCAACATAACAAAAAAAAAGCCGATGCCGCCAGAACCCTGCAAGTTGCCTTTCATGGAGGCCTGGGCTCTGAGGCTAGAGTATACCAAAACCAAAACCCTATACCCTGAACCCTAAACCCTAAAGCCAAAACCCTGGCTTTTGGTATCCATCACGACAAAAAAAGCCAAGTTGCCAGGGAAAAAGACTGGAGGGCACCACTGACCTCGGGGGAATTGGGTCTTAGGGTTATTGGGGGGGGGTGAAGCAGTTCCTTTTTCGCTCCAAAGAATACCTCCGAAAATGTCGGGTATAATCCTAGCCATGCTCGGCCCAGATGAAGCAGCAACACTGGAAGCACACGAACTTGAAGCTTCCGGTGGCTGGCCCTAAGCCCAAACCTACACCCTAAACTGCCTATACCCTAAACCCCTAACCCCCCCACCCCCCCCTCCAAGGCCTGCGTAGTACAGGCCGCTGCCCGATTCGTCTGCTGCCTCCGCGGTTGACCCCGACCCCACCCCGGCTCCTGTCTTCTATTCTGAAAAATGTCTTCCTTGTACTACTGCTGATGATATAAATCCTGCATTACATTAAGGACCCCTACGCTATGGGAATTCTGGTACAAATTCGCTAATATGGGGGTAATGCAGGATTCATATCATCAACCGTCTGTTCGGTTCTTAGTCAGACTTTACCGCAACCACCAACTCAACACATGGACCCTGCAGGCCCATGGGGCTTCAACCGAGCGCACTATAAGGGAGCCCGGCAAACCCGACATGTTAAGACCCAAAACCCTATCACCCTAAACTCAATAAGCCTGAATCCTATCCTATCGCTCTCAACCCTATACCCTAAACCCTAAGCCTAAATCCTGTCCTATCACTCTCAACTGTAGACCCTAAACCCTAAGCCTAAATCCTGTCCTATCACTCTCAACTGTCGACCCTAAACCCTAAGCCTAAATCCTGTCCTATCACTCTCAACTGTAAACCCTAAACCCTAAACCCTAAACCCTAAACCCTAAACCCCCTAAGCCCAAACCTAAGATTTCCCCGAGCTTCTGGGCTCCAAAGGTGCTGTCTACTGTGGGAAGGACGAGGTTTCCATGCAAGGATCTGTCCAGCTATAGTAGGGGCCTCAATAAGTAGAAAAGGGTTTCGGGGCGTTTTATTTGAATTATAGTATAATAGAGCATATCTATCTATCTATCTATCTATCTATCTATCTGTCTCTTTATCTGCTTATCTAACTATCCATGTATCCTAGTTTGAGGGTTTGGGGCTTCAGCGCATCAGGACGTTAACATTCAGGTTTGAGGTGGGGCTCAGGAATTACGCACTCCGTGTGGATCTCAAAGCAAGGACGCCTGTAAGACAATGACCCGCAAAGAGGAACCTAATTTGAACAACTCCCTAATTATATGGGCCTACTATAGGGGCCTTAATAATTAGAATAGGGTTTTTGGGGGTTCCTGATTTTAATCTATAGTCTGATATACCCCAAAACCCTATTCTAATTATTAAGGCCCCCCATGAGGACGGGCCTATGGGATGAGGCTGAGGCAAGCAGAGAGCTTTTAAACTGAAGCCATAAGAGCAACTCCTCAGGAAGCCCCAATTCACAGATCTCCATCCCGGACGCCAAAACAACCTGTTACTGTTTTGGGGCCCTGAAAAGTATTTATGAATAGGTACCCCTATAAAAACCATAAGGGAAACTTTGAAGTTTCCCAACTTGCCACCTAGGTTAAGACATCCTGAACGGAGTACTTAGCTTATAGACTGCAGTTCACCGATGCAAACATAGCCCACAATCGCGAAACCTTGAACTCTAACACCGAAAACGCACAGCCTTAAACCCGACATGCAAGCCCTTAACCCTATAATCCACCGACAAGCCCCAAACGCTCTTAACCCTTTGAGCCTCATATATCCTGGCTATAAAGCCCTAAATCCCAAAACGAGGGCATGGCCACCGGACAGTCGCTGCCTGTTCGGGCAGTCCACCGCGGCAGCGCGCACGCTGATCTCGAGTCCAGGGTTCCGCTGGTGTTTCATTCTGTTGCAGAAGAGGTTGAGGGTTTAGGGATCAGGGTTTAGGGTTTAGGGGACGTGCAACTCTTCTGGGTTTAGGGTTTAGGGTTGAGGCATCGGCGTCTGTCGAACTGTGCGGTGGCTTTGGTAGGGCTTTGCAAGTTTCTATCAGGGCGGGGTGTAGATTGAAGCATGCATGGCCTGAGTTTGCAGAACATGTTGTCGTTGAAGCTCTCTGCATAGCTACCTTGGCCTTCCTCCACCCCGATTCTTAGAATTCTGTAGTTTAGGCTAATGTCCCCTAACACTTTGAATTAATGTTCCCCCTAACAGTCTAGATTAGTGCCCCCTAATACTTCAGATTGATGTCCCCTAACAGCTTAGATTAGTGTCCCCCAATCGGCCTGGTCGGGACTGTTGAGAAAAGGATACGATGCTAACCACACAGGAAACGTTGCGGGTGTAATGTAGGGGCCTTAATAATTAGAATAGGGTTTTGGGGGTTTCTGTCTTTTGCAGTTGTAGTATAACATACCCCAAACCCTATTTTAATTGTTAAGGCCGCTGTACTAACCCATAAAGAGGTCCAAGCACCCAACTGGTGCTCGTTGTATCCAAGTAGTTTGTCCAGGTTAGCCAATTTTCGTGGAGGAGAAGGGGGCCTTGAGATCTAGACAGTTTTGGCGCAGAGAAGCCATCGTGCTCTCTTCAGGAAAGATTAGAAGGTAGCCCTCATCGTCTATATTAAGACCCGAAACCCTAAACCCTAAACCCTGAACCCTCAAGCCTCAACCCTAAACCCTAAACCCAAACCCTAAAGGTCTTTTGCTTGGACCTCGAATTTCTTTCCTGGGGCCCTCCCAGGGTTAAACAGAGAACAAGGGGCCTAAACCCTAAACCCTAAGGATTAAGGGTTTAGGGTTTAAAGCCCTAAACCCCAGACAGCTAGGAAAACCACCGAAAGAATTCAGCTCTTCGTCCTCTTCAAGGATCCTTGAAGGGTTGGAGAGACTACGAGGCTCCCGACCTTTTGAAACACCAAAGGGAACGGCTTTGGGTTTAGGGTTTAAGGTTTAGGATTTAGGGCTTAGGGTTTAGGGTTTAGGGCTTAGGGTTTAGGATTTAGGGCTTAGAAGTTAGCGTTTAGGGTAGAACTCTGGACTCCACCCCTTCAGGCAGTGAAGCTCAGGGTTTGAGGGCATTGAAGGCTCCGGGTTCGGGCCTGGTGGGTTTCTAGGGTTGGGTCATATAGGAGCCTTAATAACTAGGGCCTTAATAATAGACTAGGGTTTTGGGCTATATTATACATTAAGTATAGTAAGGAACCCCCAAAATAGTATTGGTAAGTATTTAAGCCCGTATATTATAGGGCATGGGGTTTTGGGCTCAGGGCTGTCAGGCAGGTGAAGACCTACCGATGAAATCCCGGGCGCCACAGCATGCACGATGTAGGAGGCTGCTTGGGCAACGTTAATCACGCACCTGGGCCAGCGAGTGGTTGGCGGTTCGTTTGGGGTAACAATGATGGTTACTACCATGGTTACTATTTATAGGTACTACCACAAGCGTTCTATAAGTGTTACCATGAGGGTTGAGGCAACGGAAGACTACACCAAACTCTTCGCAACAAGCAGGTTTAACGAACGAGATACCATGCGAGTGGTTACACCAAAAGCCTGAACCCGAAACCCTGAATATCTAGTTTTAGGGGGCTCAATAATTGAATAGGGTCTGGGGGGATACTGCAGTATACCTAGATGGCGACAACAAAAAAACTGTTGCTACTTATGCCATCGGAGGCTTTAAGGCCCATGATGTTTGTTGTGAGATAGGTAACGGTAGCCATTTGAAGAAGAGACAGTATTAACACCGAATTGCTTAAGCCGACATGCTACCTTGTCAAATTCAAGTCGATTTGAGATTCAATTTCAGACCAACCTCCTCCATGCTACATGTTTGTAAGTTCGTGCAGTGGCGCCGGCTATTCCCCAGAGCTCTCAAGGCTAGTGACATCCTTTTTGCGCTGAATGAAGATATGTAAGGATCACTAAGGCTCAAGTGTAACGAGGACATGGGGACGCACCAGTAAATGCCAACATACTTCTCGCCGGCGGGATTGGCATGCCCTAGCATCATCTATCATGTGTGTACCGTCACTGCGTAAGTAAGCGTGATGCAGTGCGGTAGATGTCATGCCCGAAACCTGAATAAGCTATGGCGAGCCTGATTCCGTGGGCACCTCGGGTGCCCCATCAACACCCTGGGTTCCGGACTCACATACAACAAAACTGAGAAATGTTAGCGGTGTGTCGAGGTTCGGGAATGGAGCATGGTCAAAGAAGTCTCAAGCAAGGATGAGCAGCGAGGGAAGCATGAACAAAACAGGAAGCGTTGTTTGCTGTGGCACAGGGGCTGCTGCAATGCAGGCCATGAGCCCCAACGCCTAGACCCAAGACACCAACCCCTGACCCTAAATCCTATACCCCGTCAAAGAAAACCTGAACAGCAAACAACTCTACCTCACGGTAAAAGAACACCAAGAGAATGAAAGAACTGAGCAACTTCCTGCGCCACTTAGTATAGTATCACAGTATTGTTGTAGTATTATAATAGTATGATTATAGCTGTAGTATAGTATTACTAATTAGAGTATTATTATTGTATTATTATCGTTGCATTATAGTATTATTGCTTAGAGTATTGCTATAGTAACATGAGAGTATGATTATAGTATTCATGCGGCTGAGGGTGCATTCCCCAGGTTGGCCCTCGCCGGCTGGACGCGATGGCGTGGCTCTGAGTCCGGTATTCGTCCTCACAGCTTTTCAGGTTTTCAGGGCTTAGGGTTTAGGGTTTTAGGGTTTTTAGGGTTTTTAGGTTTTAGGGTTTCGGGTTTATTAGGGTTTAGGGTTTTAGGGTTTAGGGTTTTTGGGTTTAAGGTGTTAGGGTATAGGGCTTTAGGGTTTTAGGGTTTAGGGAGGGCTTCAGGTTTATAGAAGCTCAGATCATAAAGGTTTAACCCAAAAGCTTGAACCCCCAAAACCCCAACATGGAACTATGCCATTCTTGGCTTGGGCAATTCCAGAAGGCTTCGCTGCTACCACAAAACCCGTGAACCTCAAACCCTGCAGTTTACGGTTTAGGTCCAATCCTTAAACCCTTCAGCGCAGCAATCAAACGCACAACCCCATTGCCCATGATGTCTAAACCCTAAAACCCCTGCACCCTAATTCCTGGCACTAAGGGTCCAAGTACCCATTATTTGCGGACTTTGGGGCCCTTTTTGGGTACTTAAAACCATAAACAAGGACTACTTGGACCCTCAGGGCCCTTAACCCACATGCCACATCTTAACCTAAGGCTCTAAGGACTCATATTTTAAGGCTTTTGGGCCCAAAGACCATACTATATAAGGCTTTTGGGCTATATTGAGCCTTAGGGTTAACCTCGCCGAACCCGTCCTTGCAAACATCTTCGATGCTTGCAAAAGCTGAGGCCAACGTGCCAACCTTGTGGTGCTGGACGCTGGTCTTAAGGAGTCGTCAAGGGCTTAGGGTTTAGGATTTAGGGCTTAGGGTTTAGGGTTTCGGGTGGTAGTAGCTTAGGGGTATGAAGGGGTTTGTTCGGAGGTGCGTCGATCATGAGCTTTGTGCGGAACGGAGGCTTCCAGTTAAGGTTATGATGCTGCAGGCTAGGAGGCTTCCATTTAAGGCTTAAGGGTATAGTGCTGCAGGACTAGCTGTGATGCTGCTTCAGCAGCTGTTATTTCTGGCATCTGTACTTTAGTAAACTTTAATTTCTTCTGGGAGTACACTTGCCAAGATCCTTTACTCCCTGCCGCTGCCTTCTGCGTACAGTATCTAGTTCTGCAGTTTAGGCATTCCGCAGGTAAAGTGAAACACAAAACCCACTCCTTGTGCACTGTCCACTTTTGCCCGGCCGCATCACGGTACGCGTCCTGGCTAAGCTCTCGCTGGTGGCGTGCCCAACGGCAACACCAGTCACGAAGCTGGGTGTCCTAAATCCCATAAATCTTACTTTAAGTTGGGATCCGGACGACCCAATCGAAGAGGACGGGCTGAGGGTTGTAGGGTGTCAGGCTTTGGGGTTCGAGGTTGAGAAAGATTTATAGGATTAACAAAGGGCCTTACGAACCTTATTCTAGTCCTGGGGCATACACAGATCCCAGTACACCAGCTAGTATATCTGTAGTAAGGGACCGGTAGGAGTAGAATTGGTAATTACCCATACGCCCCACAGTAGTTCCTTTTTGGGATTACCTAATAGGATCCTAAATATAAGCCGCAAAAAGGAACTACTATGGGGCCTATGGGTATTCAGGCTTCAGTGTTATTGGTTCATCAGGCTCTAACGCCAAATCTACCGGACTCATCTCGAAGTAGCCCGCAGATCCAACAGCCCCTGCGACACTTTGAGTCGCAAGGAGCTATGCCATGTACTCATACAAGCTTGTAAAAAGAAGATTCTGCAGAGAGCGCCACACAATCACTAGTAGGATTTATTTAGAAGGAACGCCCAACAAAGAACTCCTGATTTTGATGATTTTACTTAAACCCGAAACCCCCAAAGCTCCCATTGAAGTGTTTCGGCTCCATGACCGCTACGCGGCCTGCCACGTTAGAAAAGGAGCCGCAATGGGGGCCGTTGTACTTAGAACAAGCTTTTGGAGTCTGATATACTACCAAACTGACAACATTAAGGAACTCGAATATGAACTCTAAGCAATAACCCTAAGACCTAACCCCCAAGCCCTACACCCTAATTGGCTAGGCTTCTCTATTGTTTGAACTCTAAGCAAGAACCCTAACACCTAACGCCTAAACCCTACACCCTAATTGTTTAGGCTTTTCTACTGTGCGTCAGACCCCCCCCCCCCGTTCGTTCGCTCAAGCGATATCCAAGGCAGCGCTGCCTGGCAACAAGGCCAAGGGTTGGAGGTTCATGGGTAGTTATAAGTGGGGTTATAAGTAGGGTTCCCATAAAGGGTTCCATAAAAATTCTATAGGGTTTAGGGTTTAGGGTAGTTATAAGTGGGGTTATGAGTAGGGTAACTATAGTTATAACCCATAGTAGGGGATCTATAACCTACTTTTTACTACCCATGAACCTCCAAGAAGGGTCGGCTTGGTTTGGGGCTTGCGGTTTATCGGGCTTAGTGGTTTAGGGTTTAGGGTTTGGGGCTTGTAGGGCTTAGGGTTTAAACTCAAGGAACCAGAGAAGATGAGGGGCTTGTTCGGTGCAAGATCCTACTCTGCAGAGGGCAGATCTTCGGTTCTTATTTTTTCTGCATTTCATACTCGTATCATAACTTTCGGATAGCTGTAGGGTTTGTGGTTGAGCTTTTCTGTTTGGCTTTAGGGCGGGGCGTGTAGGTTTCCGGGGTTAAGGTGCATGGTTGAGGGCAGGGTACACGGCCTTGAACTCAGCCGGGTGATGTCCAAAACTCCGTGACCAGGCAAGCATAAAGCCGCAATGACGCATCCCGACCACTCAACAACTGAAAACGAGCAGCATGATCCAGCGAAGCAGCAGCCAAAAGACTAGAAATCCTTAACAGGACCCAAGTAAGTCGCCAAGCCTTCACTCTGCTTCCGGAAGCAAAGCGAGTCGCTTTCATACGTATGCATGATGTTTGCATCTGAAGATGAGTGTTGATAAATATCTGGTTGCTTGCCTCTGGTCATGCTTCCTTACACCACATACCAGTCCATACTACAAATTTCACCGGGGCATCTTCATACATCATGATACTGGGCATCATCGCTTCTGAATTAATCCACAGTTCTACAGCACCTGTACCAAGCTTCGACTGACTCTGGGAACCCTCGCGACTGGAAAGCTCGTGGTCGCGGGCTTCCTTTACTTGCTACTGTTGCTCTGAAACCCGAACAAAGCTCCAAGCCCTCAGCCCGAAACACCCTGAACCTGATACCGTTTAGGGGTTTGGGGTTTAGGGTTCAGGGGTTAAGGGTTGGGAGCTAATACCGTAATACCGAAACTTGACCTTGAACTGTCAACCCTGAGCCCTGAAATCGCATGGAAATATAGGGGCCTTAAGAATTAGAATAGGGTTTCTGGGCCCATTATACTATAATGATAGAAAGGAACACCCAAAATATTATAGGCAAGCATGCACGCCCCTACATTTCACCAGGCTGAACCATGCTGAACCGATGTCCCAAAATCATCCGAAGACCATTTCACTCCCAGGCACCTCTGAGCCTGCAAACTGAATGCTAAAACGGTGTCGAGGCTTCAAAAGCCCAAAGGCCCCACGATAGCGGTGTTTGGGGGGCCCCAAAAAAATAATGCTCTTCAAATTCCTACACTCCATAAACCCGAAGCCTTCGAATGTAGGGAGTTCAAAGAGATGGAGGCGTTGCGAGCCTTCCGCCGCTGTCTGCATCAGATCCTGTGCGACGAACGCGTAGTTGACATTGCGGGCTTCCCAGAGTGGGCTC